AAATAGCAGTAGTAGCTTCATAACGTTGCATATCTTATGAATTGGAACAGGGTGGAATAATCAACTAAACTGATTTGTGAAACAAAATACAAATTCACAAAATATATTTACATACAGAATCAAAAATCATTCAATAATTCTTTTATTCTAAGCCCGAAAGAGGAGGTTCTGTGACCTGTTGAATTTCACGATCGACTCTGCAAAGTATCTGAGGAAATTAAACGCATGGATCTTACTGATTACAATTTAGCGGTAAAATATGAAATTTGGAGCATTAGGATCAGATTGTAAAATAAATCTTTGGACACATTTGTGCACAGATTAGTAGGACATTAGTTTTACAGGATGATAATACTCTCTATAAGCAGATTTTATGATTACGTACCTGTAACCTGTAGCTCAACATCAACGCTCGAACGGAATGGCAACCGTGTTGTCTGGAGATGATTCGTATATAATACGTTCCGAATATTCTTCATGCTATTATTATGCGATAAAATATAAGTAGATAATAGTTTCTAAATCCGCCGCACTGTACCATCGGCAAAGTATTTTGTTCTCAGTACGATCATACATTATTCTAAGGCTCATGACCATCGTCATCAAATCTGAGAAGTATCTATCAAAGCTATCCTTTGGTGTCTACGGATACCATTTAGCGGTAAACGCAAACTTTAGAATATTAGAATCACGTAGTAGACATCCCTTGTTTCGCGAATATCAGAAATGATTGGTATGTGATTTATTTTCCAGAATAAAACTGCTGGTTTTATCAAACCTGTCATGTGAATACATACGATTTCAGTCGAAGAGTGTACAAGGTATTTTCTCCTCCTTTCCAGTATGCCTTCGTGGTGCAGCGGTTAGTACACTTGGTACGTATTCAAGAGGTCTAGGTTTCGAGTTCCGAAGAGGGTATTGCTCAGTTTTCATGCCTCCTGCTTCAAAATAGCCTAAAGACTTAGAGTTCCTCATTTTTATTCTGTTAAACTAAGTGTCGAGGAACCCAAGGAACTGCTAACTGAATAATAACTCATATCCAAGAGCAGAAATATAAACTCAAGAAGGGTTATTACCCTCTATTTCACACAAAATAAGATTTAACAGTCGGCCCTTTTCTTAGGGCGTACAAGAATGTCTCCAATTGAGATTAAACTCACAATGCAAAAAATAAGAACTAATTAATGAATAACTACAAACATTTAGCAGAAGATATCACAATTCTACACTAGTTCTCCCGTAATATTAAATTATCCAGCGAAGCTATCAAAAGGCACTTAATACGGAGGAGAGTAGTAGCAGCTTAGAGAGACTTAACCCAAAGGCAAACGCGTGCTGCTCAATAATCCTAATTCTCTCTGTCGAAGTCAGTTGAACTTGACTTAAATGCTACTCTCCTTCTCATTTCCGCTTAATGTGATTCTGAAAACTCATTCTTGTAGAGAGTTGTAAGCTGAAACAAGGAACGGAAAGCAAAATTGAAATATACCTTACAGACACTACAGGTGCCTCCCCAAAGGAGTACGCACAGTCTTTACTGAATATGAATCTTACCGAATACGCTTGAGATATGTTTAATAGCTCTACGGAATGTTATTTCATATTAGTGTCATCGCTGGAGGTTCTACAAAGGCTTGCTACAAAACTGTGATTTATTACAATATCCTGTCCTTGAACTGATGCATGGCACAGCAAGAAGTGTTTTAACCTACTCTTGCGCTAAAATAAAATATACAATGCACTGAATGCTGTGAACGAGACAACACTTTCACATATGTATTCTGAAGCTAAAATTTTTGAAACCTTTGAATACTTAGCGGGACATATATGTCTCACTATAAGTGTAAAAAGGAGAAGAAGAGAATCAAAACTCCTCCAAGCGAAAAAATTCATTCAAGGAAAGGAGAGAAAGGAGAATCTTCTAAATGTTGGGGATCATCTTCCAATAGTTAGAAGGTAAAGACGCCGCTGTGAGCGTTGTACACAACGTGAACACAGATAAAGTAACAAATATGAATTGCCCGATGTGTATTGTTGAGTTATGCAAAAAAAGCTGTACCCTGTACTGTGCGATGTAAATCTGTCTCATATAATAAAGCTTTCTAGAATAACAGACGTGCTTATAATAAGTCGAATGATCCTATATGTATCCTGTCATTAACTACGGCTGGGACAAATGTGTCCCAGCCTTTTGTTTCAAAACCGTTTGTCAAAAAGTGCTAAATTAACCTTATTTATTACATATTTATTCATTTTGACAGAAAACGGGGTATTTTTTTTTTTTTTAAATTCACAGTGAAAGGGTTAAAACGCACTGCCTTTATTAAAGAGATTTAAAAAGGAATTTGTAAAATGATGTCCATTTCCTATTATGCCATATAGTTTTCGATGTCTTCAAGTAATACATTACTCATAATTGATAATAGTATAATCACACAATTCTTTAAATGCGTAACTTATGACATGTGCAAGTTTTAGCATTTTTCATATTTTTATTAAAAATTTCACATATGTTGTTCAAGAATATTTTATTAAAATAACATAGTTAATAATACATTATTAAAATAACATAGTAAATCAAATTAGTAAAGAATTTACTTATATGTTTATAAAGTATTTTCCTCTTCTACAAAGGATGCCTTTGTGGTGGAACGGTAGCACACTCGGCGCGTATTCGAGAGGTCCAGATTCGAGTCCCGGTAAGGGCATAGCTCATTTTTCAAGTATCCTTCTTCAGATAACCTAATAAATGGACAGCGGTGCTTGAACTAAAAGGTAGCAGAAGGTGATTCTTCAGCACCAGGATTTGGCGACTGGGTCCCTTAATCACCAGACGCCCTTTAAAAGGTGAGTATATAAGATATTTTCTCCCTTCCAGCATGCCTTCGTGGTATAACGGTTAGCACACATGGCTCGTATTCGAAAGGTTCAAGTTCGAGTCCCGGCGATGGGCACTGCTCATTTTCATGTCTCCTGCTCCAATGAGAATCTTAACCTTTTGAGGACGGGGCTTCGGTAGCAGTAAAAGCTACCAAAGGACGGGAAATCTTGAACCGCATGCTTTCCCCCCTTTAAGAAATCATCTCCTATTTGCAACAAAGATTCATGTGTGTAGTTTAATGGATTCTCAAAGGGGTGCATCTATGTCGCAAAACGAAGACCTTTGAAAGAGATAAGTGGTTAAAAGCCTAGGGACGTCAAATTTGACATTTGACCCCACTTTTCAGCCTGGAAAATGGGGGAAAAAGACATGGCCACTAAACTGGACAACCCCGTCTTTTTCAAAGAGAGGACTCTATGGCCACTATAATGGCCATCCCGTCTTCAAAAGGTTAATGACTCTACAGGTTTTCAGATTGCTGCAATAAAGGATGCATGATGTGATGTTGAAATACGGATTATGATGATATTCCTGCGTCAAAGCAAAGCTCTATAATATTTCTCACATCAGAACAAACAGAAATTTATGATCAATTTGTGTATGTGTACAGTGTGAAAGTCATGTGATGCAAACAAGTTTGGTTTCAGGGCTCGAGTTTGACGATGATAAGACAGATGTGCAGTCTGAGCAATTATCTGATCAGTCAAGCACGTCCGCCAAAGATGACGTCTGCTTTATTCAAACTTTGATACCAGACGATTGGCGCATTCGACTTAAGGCTGTTTCTGACAGACTCATTATGTCACTGGACAGTATGCGATGCAAATGGTCATTGAACGTATTCATGCTTGGTTCCTAAGCGGCTCACAGACATTTGCAAAGCTGCGAAATTGAGATTATTTAGCATTCACCTGATGCGACTTAAGGAATCGTTCCATCCGTGCTTCGTATTTTTATAGGAGATGAAGTGTACTTCCTTCGTGTAGTACCTGAGACGGAGCAAGCATCCATATCATGAATACAGTCATCGTCATGCATTTCTAGGAAATTCACAGCACATCTATCCAAAAAAAAACAATGTGGCGACATATTTTCGGTATCATTTTATTTCACCTTTTTCCTTGATAATGTGTCAACTATCACTGAATTTAATTAGCATGTCTGTCATGATCTCTCCATTATCATAATGATATTTACTGGATCTACGAGGCTGAAATAACACTCAGGAACAGTGATTATATCCAATCATTATGACAGGCTGGGGCTGCTGCGTGTTGCATTTAGCAGAAAGCTACTAGCACTTCTCTCAAAAGGCGTTGTGTTGTTCGATGGGGATTCTGGTAAGCATATCTACGCCAGCACGTAGCCGCCGTTATACGTAAATTGTTACGGCGGCTAAGTGCTGGCGTTGATATTTAAGCATTTTCGTCTTTTTGGACTTCTGAAAGAAGTGCTTCGATGCTTGTTGATTAATGCGGACATTCAGCTAGGCTCCACGACGTGACTTCAGAGACTTGATGCTGATTTTCCATCGATACTCTGTTGTTTCGTTGCAAGGAGATGCTTGCACAAACACATGATTATGTCCAAACTAACGTTTTAATGCGTAGCAGTAAGTGCCTTACTGCTACGCACTTGTGCATCTTCCTGTAAAATCAAGTTTGTCTCTGAGAGGATTTGTTGACTCATGTTTTGAACTGGTTTGGTATGTCGCACAAACTTTGTATAAATTAATCTAATTCTGTAAAAAATATTTTCTCTGAATCTACCAAAAAGAAGGATAATGGCATTTTTCGACGATTCATAATATTGAATTCGCAGGCTGTTTTAATTCTCATTTCTGGAAAATGAAATTATTATGATTTCCACATCTTATTATTCGATAGCCGAATGCATCAGAGCTTTCAAAAATTGATACCTGCTATAACACCCGAAAATCAACAAAAGAAATTACGAAAATTTATTATTTTCGCGTATTTATTTACTGACAATGATTTGGTTAATTTAAATACCGGTCATATTTTATATATATATATATATATATATATTCTCATTTATCATTGCTGTAAAACTTTGCATTATTTTAAACATAGTGGAATTATGAAAATTTTTAAATAAATTTAAAACGGTAACAATTCATCTTTACTAAACCTAGTACATCATAAATGTCCATTTTTACACATAATACTTTTAAATATTATTTTCATTAAAAATTCAATACTGTGTAACACTCAAGTTTTTCAGTGACGCAGTACAATCATCTGTATAACCAATATATGGAGGAGAGATCCGCGTGTATTATAGGTAAAAAGTCTTGTGCACTGAGTCTTTAACAATGAACAATTTAATGGACGGCTAGGGCTGTCAGAGCTGCTTGTTGACATTCAGGAGGCATGGCCACGCGAAGGGAATTATTTCCTAAAAATAAAAATAATATTGTACAGTATGCAAATAATGACAAATAATTAACAAACAATTATTGAAATAGAAAGGTGAACAGTTAAAAATTCCCGCACGAGGAACAATAAAAAGGTTTGTACAGCGTATTCTAAAAACAAAGTTAGGATAATAAAATATGATTTGATTTTTTAACATGATCTTTTCCTACAATGGGATATTTCTTCCAGTATATCGGCAGTGCACTTAATACCTATGAAAAAAAGTATTTAAGGTTTATAAATTATTAATGGATATCAGATATACCATTCTTTAAACTAAAGAATTAATGGAAATTTCTCTGAGTACCAAATGAAATGAAAATGTTTTTAATTTGCTGTTGTATCTGAAATTAAAAGGATTTATTGTTTGTTTTATATTTCGCATTTAATTTTTAGCATTATTTCATTCTTCATTATGTTATTCAGAAATACGGTTATTCTGTTGGACTGTTTATGCTAATGCTCACTTGTCTAACCTTATAGTCACCCCACGATCTCTTGGCAAGTATAGAAGTTTATGTTTTATTCCTATTAAATTTTTCTGCGGCATTTACTGCCTTCATTAGCTAATGGATTTCCTTGAGTGTGATTCTTGTGTGTTTATACCGCAACTCAGCCTCTATGCTTGCCGCAATCTTGTAGTTATTTAAATGTGCAGCTAGAGTGTGTAGTCTATATCAGGCCTACTATGTACTGATATATTCTCGTAAACTGATATTCTGGTAAATAAGGGTTAGTTTTCCTATCTTGGGGTACTTTAGACCTTTTGAAAAGCTACAGTCTATGCAAATTCTTATAAAACTTGCAATTACCCCCTTTTTTTCTCTCAAAGAGTTAGTATGGGAAGGCATTACCAGTTTACCTATGGTACATCGCTGGTGTCCCCCATACTTTTACCTTTACCTCCTTTACCTATCTTGGGATTCCTTTACAGATTGCGGCAAGAAGAATAATTCACTTCGCAAAATTCTTAATTTTTACTAACCTATTTTGCTTTTCGGTTCTCCATTGTGCTCAAGCGGAAAAAAAAGAGTTTTGTTCATTAAATAATTTTAAAAAAGTGCGTAAAACATATTTGGCGTTATTATCGTCTATAACAAATATGCTAAATTTCAAAATGCGCTAACGCTTATGTATATATTTCGAAATTTTAAACAAAAAACTACTTTTCGGCAGCATTTGAATACATGTGCTTTAAGGTGATGTTAAGAATTTTATAAGTTACAATTCTGAAAATTTTTCAAAAATTTATAAAAATTAGTAAAAAAATAAAAACTGTAAAAATAAATCAGAAAATAGCTGCGAATTGCATTTGACTTGAACCTAAATTTCGAATTGGGAAAGAAGGACTCCAGTAAGCTTAATAAAAACACAGGTATTATTAAATATACTAGTATTTCAAATCCAATTAACATTGAGGAGCTAAAAAATTTGAGAGCTAATGTTTAAAAACTACTCGTGCAATTTTTACAAAACTTGGAACTTTGCCATAATGTTAGTGGCAGAATCTAAATTTAGAAAAAATCGTTATGTCATTTCAGAAAAAGTTCAATTTTGTATCAGAATGCCTAGGTTAGAGCAATGATATATATAAATCTGGTACATATCCTGAGCTTTCGAGACATCAAAAACGTAATTTATTTAATCGCCGCAGTAGTATAGAAGATATATAATTGTCCCCGTTTTTTATTCGGAGTGTATCTCAAATTTGACTTTTCACACTATCTTTTCACCTTGGAAAAAGGGGGGATGAAAACAAGACTAGTAAAGTAGACATGTCCGTCCTTTCAAACAGAGAATACTCTAATAGTTATTAATTATGCCTTACATTCAGGAAAATGTTTGGTATGAGGCACCATTAGATACACATTCCTTTGACATATAGCTTCTGCATATCCCGTAGTTTTATCATAGTCTTTATAGAGGTTTTAATGCTCGAGGCATTAAAACCTTAATCAAACCATATCTTCGCAGCCTTCGTTCAATTCTCTCACCTGCCGAAAACATCTGATCCCTAGATGCAGATAGGGTGGCATGACGATCAAATAATATTTATATATTTTAATGACAATACCCACCAGCAGTACGGCTGGCCTAGAACTGGATTACAGCAACCATAACTACAATCCAAAGCCTGTTCGATTTCATGCCCAGGCGTATAGCAATTGCTGTTGCCAAATGCATACGCTCGGGGTACGTATGTCACAACTCTCTGCAGTTTTTATCATTTCATGCTTTGATTATAATTTGTATTAAAATTAATATGATTTTGGTAGAGACGTTTCAATAAGGAAGTAGGAATTTCAATAAGCAGCAGCGTACTTCTATAATTGCAAAAGGGAAGTAGTTTGTTAGTAGCTGGTACCGCAAACAAAGTTAGACGCACAACCAAGCCCAACCCCTACTTAGAACCTGCGTATTAGGCGGGAGGTGGGTCTGTCAGGCAGAGAAATAGTCCCTCGAGAGTTAAGAGAAATCAATACAGTGCCGCCTCGTCCCACAGTGACGAGCGACAGATCAAAACGTACTCCCATTCTTATGGCTGAACAAGTCGGCCGGTGTCACCACTCCCGGCGAACTGAGACCACCATGAGGTGTGTCCCTTTAAGCCTGGAGATTTGATTTGTCGTAAAACTGCCAGCATCAGTATACACGAGCAACTCCAGACTGAAGGATTGACATGGAATACGGTGTTATACAACGGACTAGCCGTCGCATCGCTACCATTATTCCAAAAGATACTGTCATCACGATGGCAGGAAGAATAGACAGGAAGATTTACTTACAACATCTTTTTAATACCTATTCTCAAGAGGCTCAAATACAACCAACTCTTCCTCTAGGCCTGTACCAACCACGGGAAATTTCCAGTGTATTACAGACGATTCTTCAGACGGGACGTCAACTGTTCTTGCGGTTTTTGCGGGGAAGACGAGAGTGCACTTCTTTAAATGCTCCCCTGCCCTTTGACAGAGCACCTTTGGCAGCAGTTCTTTCCTTCCGACTACATCACATATCCTGTAAATAGACTGTTCACGGACTATTACTGCAACAAGGGCATCTTAGAGATAATGAAGCAAGTGAATGAAATAATTATATCCTAGAACTAAAGATTAATATAAAATGTAGAGAGGCGGCCTAACCGTCAGATTGCTAGCAATGACTAGGATGACTTCTTAACCCTGTAGTGCCATTAATTTAAATTGGCAGAACAGGTTAAGTAAAGTGACTATACCATAGCATGAAATTATACGGAATACATGTCAAGTGGCAAGCCACGGTCGCTCCGGAGACCACCAGCTTGAGGACTTATAACTATGCCCCCTTTAGTCCAACGGTATAGGCGATCTTCTCTTGGGATTCTGGAGCTGCCAGGCTCGTAATTATGTTCCCCCAGAGTGCTAATGCCATGACAAAATACCAAGAAAGTATAAACACATCAGGAGGAAAAATGGAACAGAAATCTTTCAGTTAATTATATCCAAATTAAAACTTTTATCACTGAAGAATAACAAAAGGTAACTAGGTCCGTCTATCTAAAATAATCAACTTCATCATTCTTAATCTAATATTTATAAAATAGTCTTGATTTCTCATGCATTTGTCTTTATCCAGCCACCATATAATCCGTCTCTTTTTTGTCTCAGTTATGTTGCTGTCATATGTGGAACCCGTATGTGGAATTGTTGATCATTTGGATGCAACCGACTTGCTCTCTGTAGTTCAGAAGATCCATTCAAACCTTAAATCATCACTTAAAGAAAAAATATTTAATTCTATATCGGTTAATACAGAGATAAAACACACCATAAAATGCTAATAAAGTTGCTTATTTACTTTTTTATTCGTATTTTTAAAACGCTGAAAATTTTATATTTCATTGACAATCATTTACTTTAGAATCTGAGTTTTAGGATGTTAAGTCGTGACTAAGGCTTACTCATTCAAAGCTGTTATGTTCGACCGGTCAGTGCTATAGGCCGTATGTTAAAGATTATTTTATAATTCTCTGAAGAGGAGACAGCAAGCTTACTATATATGAGACAAGAACATATGAAAAATACATTGCAGAATAAAAATGTGATTAAATATTGTCGCTTTCGAACGTTTAGTCTTCGATCTGATTAACATGTACATTTTGTTCTCATTTTTTATTTAACAAATCTGAATGTGAAGAAAATGCCTCGTTTGTCCATTTTAATACCATTGTAATACGTCCATTTTAATACCATTATATTGTTATGAATTTTATACATATGTAAATAATTTTAGCGAAATTATGCATAGAACGTAAGATTTCTGGCATATTATAACATGAAATATCTGAAAAGAGTGAAGCTTTGCCAGAAGAATAAAGGGACAGTCCATTTACTTCAATTCTCATCTCCCCAAAGATGTGATAACGCCCAGCTGAAGAGGATTTTGGAAACAAATTTTGGCGCCAAATTTGACAATATATCGCCAAATGTCGCCAAACTTGACGATCACTTGACGACATTTTCATCTGATACCTGTATAACTGTATAGTCCAATACGTATACAAAGTAATTGCAACTGTATCCAGCCCCATGTAACTATAAATGTCTATAGCTTCTAGCAATTTATATAAATCGAAGGTACTAGAAATTTCTCAGCGGTCTGGGGGAAAAATACTTTACACTGGTGAGAGCATCAGTTCCTTATTTTCATTTCGAGTTGATTTTGCAGTATTGAGAGATCTCCATGGGAGCTTCTTTCTTCAGATACGCTTTCTGTTGCATTGTGTTTAGCGTTCTTATTAGTTCGAAGATTATTGATTGTGCTGTGTCATACTGAAAATATGTCATACTATGTCATACTAAGCTGTACGAATACTAGCGTCAAACGTTATTGAGCTGTAAAGTGTTTCTTTTGGGAAAATTTTATAGAGCCGCAAGCACGTAACAGTGCTTAACAATCCTATACCTGAGCGTTCAGTGTTTTTTACTTCCTTGTAAGAAG